TCTTAATAGTTTGTTTTGGGTCCCTCACTTCCGTTTCGCTTCTCATGCACTGATTCGCTAGCTGAACAGCCAATCAGAGTGATTTCTTTGGCCGACGGCCTCCCGATTCAACATGTCGAATCGGCGGCCGAAGGTGTCGGCACGGCCGAAAATACACGACGGTGCAGTACACACCAATCTGAGTAGGGCGACACGACGCTCATCGAAGGCCAGACATCTAACAACATCTATCGACGCGGAAAATCGGCTCGGTGTATAAGGAGCTTTATATAGGTTTTTGTGCATGTAAATTGTCTGCAAAGGCCAAAATCTCAAAGTTGAGTTTCTCTCCCAAACACTCCCCCCCCCCCCCCCCCCACTGCCTGAAACACCTTCATTTGTCACCTTTGTTTACTTTGTAACATAACGACATCAGTATGTAACACTTGCGCTTCTAGGGCTAGGGCTCCTACACATTGTACATTATAGGGGCAGGACATCTCTAATCGGTTGGCCAATCATAACAGAGCCAGCCAGCTAACCAATGAGAGCAGACTTGGCTTTGGTTTCAGACAGATGGTGAAAAGAGGTTCTGCAGCACAGGCAGTATGAGAAAAATAAAGATATTTTTTTAAAACAAATATGAACCTGAAAATTAGCATTATAAGTCTTCTCTATATCATTGTGACTTTCCGAGTATGTCATTACCCGATGTTCAATGCAAATAAACGACACCTGCCATTAGAATGTGTCTCACACGCGTCTTCAGTGACCGCTTGTGAGCGCATTTCCCCGCTTTGTATGCAAAGATACGTGTACAACATTATCGTTTGCATATACAAAATAGGCTACATATTTGAATGGAAAATAGTTGTTGTTACTGGTTTATTGTGTGTGTCAGTTGTTACTGTAATATAAATCACACGTTCATGCAGAAACGTACAAAGACTTGTGGAAAATCACTGTTAATACCAGTTCTGAACAGGCCTGAGAATCCTTAAAAAATGTTATTCTCTTAAAATAAGTCTAGTGATAGTAATCTGTGCATACATTTCAAACAAAAACAATAGAAAGTTGTTCTAGATGAATTCAAATACAGGCCAACAAACCAGGCTAAAGTTGAAGCTCACAGTGTATATACAGTCTATGATCTGAGTGAGGGTGGAGGAAATGGGGGTGGGGGTTTCAATTGTTTGTCTATGGGGAGCTCCGAGTGTCAAAACACTGTCACACATACACTGGAGGCAGAGGCTGCCGTGCAAGGTGCCAGCTGCTTATCAGGAGTGATAAACATTCACACATTCATTTGTACCACTGTCATAGCATAGGTCTCCATATACAGGTCTACCCTGCCCAAATAAAGGTTAAATGGTACACTTTGACTGCAGGGGGATCAAAACGCCAACTTTCTGATGACTTGACAACTGAGCTACCTACTGAGCAAGCGCTACAACTATGACTGAAATGTTTGGAGAAAGAATCTGAAGAATAGTAACCCTTTTTTCTAATGCTTTCAATTGAGAATCCTATTGTAAAACTCTTAATAAAACCAAACATTTCCCAACCATTCCTGCGCTAAAGAGCATTTCCCGCTCTGAGTAAGTGCTCAAACTAAAGTTACAATAACTAGGTTACTGCTGTCTTCATAAGCTTGTCTACTAATCACCTATGTCACCAGATTTCTGTCAGTGACCTTGTTCCTCTTGCACATGTAAACTTTCTCTCCGCCTCGTATCCCTTGCTATATCTAGCCCGCCGTTGTTTCTTTTCATCTCTTCCTCGCAGTCTTCGTCTCCTCTCCTCCTCCATCTCTCTCTTCATATCGCTATCTTTATCTCTCTGTATGTGTGTCTCTTCCCATGCCTCTTCTGTTGCCTGTTACAACATATCTGGTATTTATCTCTCTTACATTATTTCTGCCGCTCACTTTTGTGCAGCATCTCCCTCCCACCTGTGTACTCTTCCTCTCGCCCCGCTTCAATCTTTCCTTCCATGATATTGATCTGCATTCTAGCCGCACAGCTTGAACTGCCTGTGGCTCTGCAATGAGCTCACCATTCACTTCTTCCTCTTCTGTGTGTATGCATGAAAACGCTGCTCCGAATCCCCATATGTCTCACTGCAATCTTAGAGTTAGGTACACACAAAGCAAGCTTATTTTGAAAATGCTGTTTATGTGTAAAAACCTCTTCTTTGTTTGTCAGAATGTCTGCCATTAAACATTAAAACCATGCGTCATGCCAGCCATGTATTAAGAGTAGGCGACTCAGCCTGGTTACTCTGCAAAATAGGAGCCTTTATCTTCTGATCTATGTAATCACCTATACTGTGTTTTAAAACAGTGGAATTTAAATGTCTCATTATTCCCTGTTTCTGTTGTCACACAACTGAATGAACATGAAATAGTGATTTGAATGCAGGTCATAAATGTTATCTGTTAACCATGCAGGACAGCCGTTACAAAGTGATCCGACAAAATCAACATAACTAAAGGTTGATTACGTCTTTTATTGCATGCTTGACTAGTTTAACAATTTAAATGAGTGACCAGACAAAGTCAATCCTCTTCAAGGCTTGGATCATTGTTTCACACTTAAGGCGTCAGTATGCTCCTTCTGGCCCTAACGCCCTTTATACACTCACATCAACTCAAAGAAGCAAACTCTCTATTGCCTCTCACAAGGTATGCTATAAAAAATAGATTTTATATATATTTTTTTTAAACCCCCGAAACAAGGCTATGCTAAAAGCTGGACGCCCAAAGATGTTTTATGGCAATTTTGTCAAAAATATAGGGGTTAACAGAACGTACGTTTGCAGAAAGTCACTCTTGAAAGTCAGTCATGGTGTAGCACAACAAGTAGTTGTGTAAATAATTGAAAATAGCGATACAGGTTGAAGTTCAAACCCTGGCTCCTTTCACAGCCGGGCCAATCACGCCTTGACTGTGTTTTCAGAAAGTTGCAGAAATTACACAGCCCCCCCAAATCAGACACCAGAAAGATTTGAGACGATGAACATTATATTAGTGACATTACAATGTGAACTTGATAAAAAAAATCGTGTTAATGACTTAGGCCCAGGCTCCACGGGAACGCATACGGCAAAACGCATAGGATTAACGCTTCCGCCCACACGCAATATACACCGGATAGTGTCTTGCCACACGAGACAGCTCCGTTTAGATCCAACCGCTGGAAAAGCTGCAGTACATATGCCGAGCCTGTACGTGGCGCTGTAACTTCCTCCACAAAAGCAGCAACTTCCTCCACAAAAGCACGAAGAGAATGGTTGTCATGGCTGCACTTCTGTTTATTCTCCTGGTGGGGGCCGAGGGAACCGGGCAGAGTTTTTCGCCGGTCAACGTGTGTTAAAGTTTCAATCTTCCGGACAAAATTATAAAAGTGCCGGTCAAAGGTCTTCATTGTTATTTATTGAGCTTTAAAAAACAATGAATACGACGATATAATGATATATAATAATAAAATACACGGAGCCTGTCTCTTTTTCCTCTCTTCTCACAGCGTCAGTGTCTGTCTCATGCAGCAGCTGATCCAGTAATGACGACTCGACAGTAAAAAATAAACATATTTATAACTAGTTTAGTTGAGAGGTAATTAAATAGCTAAGGGTGATGATCTGACTTGAAGTGTGTGTTTTCCTCCCGCTGCATCACAGCGGGAGGAGCTGCGTGTCTCCGTCCTGTCAGATTAGACTTCACTCGCGGTTATGTCCATATCGAGATAAAGATAAATAATCTGAATTCAGTGTGCAGTGTACTTTTGCGGGGGTGAGCAGCAGAGGCGGGGAGAGGCGGGGCTATTGCGTCGTCATTATCAGAAAATGATGACCGTATAGGCTACCACACGGCCCCGTTGGACCCCCCAGAGCGCTCCGTTCCCAGATCTATTCACCTTTGGACCCGTTGTCGTTTGCAGGGTCCGTTTCTACCGTTCCGTTACGGCGTCGTGCGGCTTAAAGGGCTATACGCAAGAGAAATATGCGGATACAACCCGTTTTCGTTCCCGTGGAGCCTAGGCCTTAATGGGCCAGTGCCTGAAAAAGGGAGTTAGTAACGTCAATATGTCTGCTCCATTCAAAGATTTTGCTCTACTATTCCTTTATCTGTCTACTCACCAGAAGTTGAGTTGAGAATGATGACTCGAAATATAAGAGAAGCATCCTTAGGGAAAAGCTTAGTGCGTTCAGTGTGCTTGAGAGAAAGAGAGGATGCGCTCACAGAAACCTGGTGTTGGAAGCAGAGGAAAAATGAACAGTTGCGTGGTAGTAAATGTTCTATCCTGGTTTCAGCTTGCCGATGAATAATCTCTAGCTCCTCTTGACCCAAGTGAAGATGATCAGGGATTTTCTATTAGAAAGTATCAACAGAAAAGTAACCTTTTTTTATTTGTGCCTTTTAACTTGCAAGCATCGAGCATGTAAATGACATACCATTCATTGTATTCACAGTTATTTTGTCATTTGTCAACCAACAAAGTGGTTCAAGTTCTTTCTTATTCAAGTCCCCGTAGTTAGAAAGTGATTCATATTGAGTGCTATTGACCGTGACAATACGCTTTTCCTCCATTTCATTTGAGATATGGTATTTTGTGTCTAGAATACCATAAGTATAAAATAAATGTGTTGAAGAAAAAGGCATTGTGGCACCCTTATGTCAGAGTCAACTTGAGTCAACTTGAACTTTATTTCACTTTTCCAGGTTGGCACTGACATTTTTTCATCTTAAATGACAGCACCATGTTATGTTGTTCGAAATTACAACAGCCTGCATTGCCTCTAGTGCCTCTTAGTCCCTATGTGTGAAGTTCTGTGAACAGCCAGTGTTGTTTCATTTATAAATGCCGAAGACCTTTTTTTTTAAGTGTGCATAAAAGCATCTTATTGTGAATGGATGACCAGAACAAAGAGGAAAAAAATCTAATGTAGCCTGCTCGGGTGAATGCAAACCAGTACAATCATTGTGTGTTAATTTCAACCTCTGCTTGTGTGTCTGTTTGTAGCTGGCTCTGCAGTCCCGGCTGTGTGACAGGACTCTGATTGGAGAGTACCACCCCGGGGCGGTGCGCTACACACAGGCTGACCTGGTCGACCTCAGCGATGACGACGACGACAATGACACCAACGTGCTCTTCTACTCCCCCGACATGACCCTGAAAGACCGAGGGCCCTGAGAGAGAGCCGGAGAGAATAAGAGAGAGGGGGAGAGAGAGATAGAGGGAAGAGCCGGAGGATAGGAGCACGAACGAGGGTCACAGCCAGAGAGAGACGCAGCGGATTAGAAACTGAGAGAGAGAGGAACAAGAGGTAGAGAGGGAATGAAAGGGAAGATTGGGGGGACAGTAAGGCAGATAGGAGGCGGAGATGAGCTGTCAGGTTCCATTATTAATCCCCATCCTTTACTATTTAATATCCTAAAGACACACACACACACACACACACATAGCGAGCAGAGCTGCAGCTCCCTGCTATACTACTATGGGAGAGGAGCAAGACAGGATCGGCTCTAAAGATCCTCCTAATGTCAAAGGCATCTGCTGCATCCCAAAGGTTTTAAAACAATTTCCCCTCTCTGCACTGCCTTCTTCACTCCTGCATTCTGCAGTGTTTTGGCACACCGCAAAAGTGAAAGGGGGGGGGGGAAAGGAACGACTGAAAGGCAATCATAATAAGGTGTTAGTTTAGCATTCAGAGCAATTACCTTTTCACTTCTCTGCAGGGGATGAAGTGAAAGCAGGCCTTTTTAAAAAGCACCCTGTGTGTCAGAAGGGAATCATCTACGGTTCTGGATCTGAACAATTGTCTCCGTGATAGGGGCAGGGTGGGGTACAGTGAAAAAAACAAGAGGGGGGTTAAAAAACAGTGAAGATGACTTGGTAGGGCAAGTAAGTCTCACGACAGTTCTTATGTTTTTCTCCTTGCATATGACTTTATTGTTCTAGCAACTTACGCACAAGTATTACTTTGAACGGTTGTTTTGTATTTGAATGAAATTCTACATGTGTTTGTTATACTGTATTTATCACTGTACCATATATATTTAAGTGTACACTCTATTTTTGTACGTGCCTTGGACTGGAATGTGTCCAAACCTGCTGCTCTCACATGACAGTTTAAATACATAGCCTTATGGACAACTACAAAACATGTATTGTTAATCAGTCAACACAAACACACACACACATACAGACACACGTGCTCTCTCGAAAGTCCCTGTCAAAACAGGTCCAAATCGAGGGCACACACACACATGCACACATGCCATAGCAACAGCCTTTGATGGTTCATCACCTCCTGGCCCTTGTCAGAGGTGCTGAGGTGTGATTGGCGGGATAATGGAGTCGCTTTATATTCAACCTCAGCCCATTTGGTATTTCCACACATCGTGGTGGTTTCATCACTGTCTGTGCGAGCTGCCGGCTGTCAGCTGCCTCTCTGACAGGTTGAACTAATGAACCCACACTTGACCCTTTTTACCCTTGGGTTTTTGAACTTTTCTGCTCGGCGTCAATGACACAAGAGCGCAACTTTAGATTGCAGTTTACAGAGCCCCACCACTGTGTTATATACACACACACACACACACACACACACACACACACACACACACACACACACACACACTGCCCAAACCCCATTTTAGGCACTGTTGCTGGTTTTACTTGACTGTGCACTCCATCAAATAAATGAGCAGGAGAGACATTTCATAACAAAGCTGAGACTGGGCGTGTTTATTTCATTTTCACATTGATGTAATCCCTCATTCCCTCATGCCACTACCCTGCCTCCCATGAAGTGTTGAATGTGCAGACGTCTTTTAGACCTGGGCTGCCTAAATAATGGATATTAATTATTGGTCCGATCCTGCTGGCACCTGCCGTGTCTCCAAATCTGGTTAACTGGATTTTGATTAATGAAATATGTGCGTCATGTCCTCAAGAAAACTAGACTTTTTTTTTTTTCCTCCACGCACCTAGCTCTCCCGCAGACTCAAGCCCCGAACCCCCTCCATATAAAGAGCCAGGGAAATAAGCGAATCTGCCTGTCACGCAAGAAGAATTATTATCCCCCCCCACCACTCGTATCGTCGCATGCGCCGTAATTGGATACAATTTAACACCCGCGGCCCACGGGCATGTCGGCAGGCGCACACTGCCTACTATTAGCTCGCCTCGCCTCGCCACCCTATCATTTGTCAGATCTGTGTTTGTGTGCTCCTGGTGCCTGCGTGTGTGTGTGTGTGTGTGTGTGTGTGTTTGCGCGCGTGCATGTGGCTCGAGAAACCGGAGCCATTGTTGGAGTCCGGCCATGACCTAGCTGTGACGCACAGAGAGGGGAAGAGAGGGAGAGGGAGGGAGGGAGAGAGAGAGAGGGAGAGAGGCGACAGCAGCAGCAGCCCAGACGCTGAAAACAAGCCGGGGCTCTGTCACCTCGCAGGCCCGCTGCTGTTTGTCTCTCCTCTGCAGCAGCCTCCACCCGGCTGCTGTTTATTATAGAGCCCCAGCAGTATTTACAGGCGGGGATGTGGTGCAGGGTATAACCCCCCCCCCCCCCTCCCTAAACTCGGCTCTCCCGCCGCTCACTGTAAATATAAGGCTGGAGAAGGTTAATGGGGAGATTACAGCCTGCATGAATGATGTCTTAAAATTATAAATAATTGACTGGAAGTTCTTGTGCAGCCTTTTGCATTGAATGTTTTAATTAGCTAGTTTTGCTCCAGGCTGTTGGTATTGAACTGGAGCTTTACCAGGGCTGCAAGAATGTGTCTAATTACCCCTTTTTTTGCTGATATGGAGACATCAAGGAGTGGCATTTGATGCAAATCTTGGAGTGGATTTTATGTTCAAAACTAAATCTTGTTTTTTTTGCAAAGATTCAAGGTTCAGCCCATGTGTTGCCGCCTCAACAGTCTTAACCTATTGTCAACAAATCCCATGAAAGACTTAAACCAACAAGGTTTTTATCCAACTTCTTTTCCAACCATTTTTTCCTAATGAGACATTGCAGTTTTATTACAGCTCAGTCCTTTTCTATAAAATCGTAGTCCATCCCTGTTACCAGTGTGCAAGGAAATACCAAATTAACGGGTAGCTTCTTCTATTTCACAATGGCCGTAAATCAAAGACAGCTTATGAAAAGAAGCTGCTGCTCAGGATTTCTCGCTCTCCGTTTGACACTGACCTTAAATCTGTGATCTCTCTTTCTCAGGCAGAGCTGAACACAACAAAGCTCAACATTGTACATATTACAGTTGTGATACTGTTGTGGTTCAGAGATCTCTAAAGGCCTGTGGTGAAGTTATCTAATTGATGTTGATGCTGTCTAAAGACCAACATGAACCTGAATGCATGAGAAATAAAATCAGTTGAATATACTCAGGTGAGTTATAGTAATGTCCTAGCTTGACAAAATCTGGACATTTGATCATTTAAATACATTATTGTAGAAAAATGTAACAAGGCTCCCCTTTTAACTAATTATTGGCTCCTGTGCAGATTATTGCCTTTTTAGTAAGTGCAGCCGTATTTGCAGGACCGTAGCCAAGATTTGCAGCAAATTCCCCCAGATTTTGTCACCAACCAAAAACAATGCATTTATTCAAACAAAAAAAGTTACGCTTCATATTTATGAATTTAACTATTTTTGTATGTTCTGTATATTTGTACCTCCCTGTATAATGGTATGATGATGACTGCAATTAACAATTACCCAGCTGATTATTCAAATTGTCATCCAAGAGGCCAAAACCCAAAGAAATTCTGTTTACTGTGTACGATACAACAGCAAATCTTCACAATTGAACAGTTTACAACAGCAAATGTTTAGCCTTTTTTGCTTGAAAAATTATATTTGAGTATTTTTCAAGCAAATCAAGTTAACATTATAATCGCTGGCAATTCATTTGCTGTTGATCGACTAATTGATTCATCTTTTCAACTCTATTATATACATATTTACTATAGCTCTTGTGGAGAATGCAAATCCCTAACATATTGTCTACCTTAGAAAATATCAGATTTAGCCTTAAAACATTGTTCGTAATTGATCACTTATCCCCCAGAATCCCCTGAAATATTACCGAGGGCTTGACCTTGGTGCCTAATTATAACCCTGCTACGTCTGTATTTCTCGAGGATCGTGTGTTGAATGTGCCTATTCTCTCCTGCGTCTTGTCTTATATCAGCCTCGCTGTGCTGCTGCTGCTTTCTGAGCGGAGCGAGCAGAGCTTCCAGCGCTGCGATCCGGCCCCGAAAGAGTTAAATTAATCTCTCCCTCTTCTCTCTCTTGCTCGCTCTCTTTTCTCTCTCTCAACACACACACAGGCTGCCACCGCCCCAGATAACAGAGGGGCGCCTCTCCCCAGCCAGCCAGCCTCCGCTAATCGCAGTGGCAGGAGGGGGGGTGTGGGAGAGGGGGGGGGGGGGGGGGGGGGAGTTGAGTGCCGGCGGCCTCTCACAGCGCTGGGCTTTTTATTGACGCTGCCTGCCTGTGTGTGTGTGTCATCAGTGTGTGTGTGCGCGCAAGGCTGTGCATGCTTGTGGGTGCGTGTCAGAGCGAGAGAGCTATAAAGAGGTGTGTGTGTGTGTGTGTGTGTGTGTGTGTGTGTGTGTGTGTGTGTGTGTGTGTGTGTGTGTGTGTGTGTGTGTGTGTGTGTGTGTGTGTGTGTGTGTGTGTGTGTGTGTGTGTGTGTGTGTGTGTGTGTGTGGTGTGTGTGTGTGTGTGTGTGTGTGTGTGTGTGTGATGTGTGTGTGTGTGTGTGTGTGTGTTGTGTGGTGTGTGTGTGGTGTGTGTGTGTGTGTGTGTGTGTGTGTGTGTGTGTGTGTGTTCCCAGCCAGCAGCGGAAAGCAGGGAGAGGCGGGAAGTGGGAGGGTGGGTGGCGAGGTTATGAGCGGAACTCGACAGAGGCCGACAGACGAGGGGAGGGGAGGGGAGAAAATGAGGAGGGGGGTGAGATCTTTCTTGTGCTGCGCTGAGAGCCGCCACAGCTTCTCCTTCCTCTCAGATAAGGCTCGTTTGAAGGTTTTAATCTTTATTCTATAAAAAAAAAAAAAAAAAAAGACGCACAATGTTTTTGTCCACGCGTATTGGAGGGGTGGGGGGGGGGGGGTGAGGATAGGCACTTATGGGAATCCCCCCAGGTCAAAATAAGAAGTGTGATTGATCGTGTTGGTTATTTTATGTCACGGGCTGCACTGATTGATTGCATCGATGAATTTAGCAGCCTATTGATTAGGGTTTAATCTATAGGTCTCTCACTGCTCCAGTAATCCCTCCCTCTCTCTCTCTCTTTCACTATCTCTCTACCTCTCTCTCCCTCTCGCTCTCTCTCTGGCTCCGAGCCACGCTCGCCCTGCCGCGCCAGGCTGTAATTATCCCCGGTGAGGCCGCGCTAACGCAGCGTGGCGCGCCTGTGGGGAACCGGTTAGCCCGACAACACCGGTGGGGGTGCATGCTTGTGCGTGCCCGTGCGTGTGTGATTTCGTGTTCGCGGGAGGGAGAAAAAGATGCTGTGTTGATATTTCAGTTGCATAGATAGATAGAAAGGAAGATAGATATTTTATTTATCCCAAATTGGGAAATTGTTTTGTTGCAGCAGCAATCTGTTCAATCATTACAATATTTAAAAGGTGGAATAAAGTGTAAAAATAATTTTCAATAAAGCAAATATATATACACATACAGTAGAAAAGATATTACATAGAATACACAATATGATAAATAGGGGGTATTCAAGTACTTACATTTGTTTTTGATGAATTTGAGATTAGAAAATTAATTTTAAACAATTCACTTTCAAGTCACCATTGACTATCGTGAATACACAATGAGTTTCCATAGACATTATATTGGAGCACTGTTTGCTTTTCTGACTATCGTGAACATGCATATTCAGCATTGTGAGTGTTTAAAAGTGTTCAGTTCAAGTATTGATTGCATGTGTCAAGCCTGTGCGTGCTAGTAAAGTGTTCAAGCAAGTTTGTGTGTGCATGTGTGAGTGTGTGTGTGTTTGTGCCTGTGTGAGTTGCAGTAAGCGATCCATAACGATCTGCAGGTGGATTGTGCTGATTAGTACCGGCTGCTGTGGACTGAGCTGCGTGCAAAGAGCTTCCTGCAATCTGAGCCTGCCGACAGAGTGTGTGTGTGTGAGTGGTGTGTGCGTGGGTGTGTGAGTTTGTGTGTGTGCTTGCTTGTGTGTTGGCAGGCAGCCCTTTCAAAATGTGTGTGTGTCTGTTTTGGGCACAGCATGTGTATATTTGGGTAATGCATGCTCAAAGTGTGTATGTTTGTGCTTATGAACTTGCCATGAATACTGTGTGTTTGTGTGTGTGTGTTTGTGTTTGTCAGGCCACTGCTTCAGTGTCTGATTGCAGCAGCAGATGGCTGGATCCCTCTGACCTCCCAGAGCGTGGCTCCCTCTACACCCGCGTGCAGGCATGGGTGTGTGTTTACGCTGTTTTGGTTTATATACAAGACACACGCACCTACACATGACATAGAATGACAGTTGGAGGACGGGATCACAGATTTAAAGCACATTTTTCGTCGCCATTACCCAACATGAGTGTTTTCAAAGGCACATGCTGTTCTCGGGCTCCCTGTTCAAACCACAAAGTTCACACACAGTCGTAAAGTGCAGCCATAAAAAAAGGCCTGCCTTCGCTTTCCAGACCTGTTTTTGTGACTCCCAGCATAGGTGTTTTTTTTCTGTAAATACAACTGTGTGTTTTTGTGTTTAAGCGTCAGAGACTTGGTTTGCCCTGCGGTTCCTCGGAGCAATATTCATCTGTAATCCAGTTTTCCAGTGAGTGATGGAGAGAGCCGTTTGCCTCTGAGTCAGAGGAGGAGAGAGAGGAAGACCCGTTGTCTAGTGCTGTTATTACGCCCCTTTTTTCCAACACCCATCTGACCTTTCAAAGTCGTTATTAGTTGTGTGTGACGTCAACAAAAGTCTGCTTTTAGCTTCTCAAGAGCAGAGATTTATAGGAATTTTTAGCAAAAATATTCCGCCTGACTTTTCTTGGTAGTATTCAATACATTTTGTCATACAATGGAGCAGCTTCTCTCAAACTGTTTGGAGACAATCAGGTTGCATCTCAAAACAAGCTGACAGATCTGAAAGGGCACCTCAAATCTTGTCATGGCCGCGTATTTACACTAACGATACAAACAGTTGGTAGTGGGGGGTTGCCAGGTTGGATTCTACCTGCAAGAATCTGGGCAGGAGAAGTGAACGGGACATATGGTGCAGTGTGGCTAAATGTGTAGAGCATGACACCTCATATTACCAAGACTAAAGATGGTGGTGTCCTTCCAGGGGAAATACAGGCTGCCATATTCCTATTGACAAAAGGACATGTAAGGGGAACCAAACAGAGAGTGCAGATATGCTGTTTTGAATAAGTGCAGCTCTCCGCAGCTGCCACTGTGTGACCACATAAAAAATGAAAAATGGTTGCCTTCATGTCCGTTGTTTACTTCCCATCTTGTGGTCGGCTTCTAAAGATTGAATATTCAGAGTCTCGGCTTTCTGAGCTGTTGGACCTCTAAATCTGTATACTTGATTTTCTGAGCCACAAAATTCCGCTCTAAATTTCATCACTCATATTATTATAAAGTAATCTCCTCTTTCTCTTTAAGATTAATTTATACCCAATATAAATGGAGTGGACATAAACAAAGCAACACTAAGTGAATAGGAAATGTTATATCTAGACTGTGTTGGTGGTATATTTTGTCACCATCCTGGAACCTGAATAGAAAGTCCATTAAATGGCATGTGTTACAGTGTCCTATAATGTCAGCCCCTTGACAAGTGAAGTGAAGCATAGACTGTCCATTCTAGTCAGCTTAATACAAAAATTCAATTTTTTTGTGCCTTTAATTTTTAATTTCCGCTTAAAAAAAACGTCTCCAGCGTAGATGAATCTGAAAAATGCTGATCCTGTGTTTTATTGTGAACGGAAAGAACAATGACCTGAGACTGGTGCAGGACTGCGTGGCAGTACAATTAAGATTGTCAATTTGAAAAATGAAACCAGCCAATTACAGAACACAGCTGCTGTCATCAACCGGCATTCATGATTATTTTGTCAGACGGCTTTGTGATCAAGAATAAAATACTGATTAATTGACGTCTCATGGTGCAACAGCACAGGAGTTAACACTCACACACATTTTTGATTGGCCAATTGCAGCAGCACCTAGCCAGATGACAATTGCTTTGCAGTCAGAAGTTAGGCCAGGCTTATCTTTTTTTGCCAGGTGGGCTTACTTCTTTGTTGGTTTGTTTGTTTTGGACAACAAGCCATCACTGGCAGCTAGATGGGTTTGACCAATTAAGATGTTTAAAGCAGTCTGTCTGCACCTGGCCTTACTGTAGGAAGAAGAATCTGTGAGATGCAATCAACTCACTTTTTATTATCTGTCAAAACTAAAAAACTACGGTCAATTAGTGAGTTAAGCTTTTTTGAAACAGTTCATCCTAAGGGTTGGAGAACTTATAAGTGATATAAGCAGCTGACACACAGGGTAACCATTAAGTGTTTCTTCCACTGCTTGTTGTTGGTAACTCACAATTGTGTATTTTTCTAAGCAAATGACAAGGAAGAAGAGATTTAGGCAGTTTCCTGCTTATTAAACATCCCAGTGTAAATGTACCTGAACCCTGGTGTAGATTGACATCTTTTCAAATTCAAAAGTGTGGACGAAGCCTTGGTCGCCTCACTGTTCAGTGGCTGTGGTCATAGTGGGCAACTCCCAGTTATAAGAGGTAGAGAGAGTGGGGATAATGATGGGGCCTGATTTTATTTAAGTTGGATTAAAGTTCTTCAATGTGCCTTTTTACAGTAACTAAGATGCATGCCTCAGCCAGAGAAAGTGGAGTTTTATCTCTGTGCATCAATACACCCACCCTCTTTCCCTTTCTTCTCATCTCAAGGATCCTCTTCTCTCCGCTCACTTCTTTCATGCCTGTCTCCAAACTTTTTGGATAATTTGCCCTTCAAGATGAGCTTTGCTTTTGACTGCATCCACATGCGAGTGCTTTGTGAGCTTTGTGTTTGTTTGTGTATGACTGTCTGCTTTAATTTCTACTTTCAACAGCTGTGGCGAACGCAGCCAGACCTTCCATTTCCAATCCCCCTCTCTTTCCTACTCCTACTCTGCTTCTGTCTGTCTGTCTGCTGCTTTTCTCTCCTACACACACACACACACAAATGCAGGCACATGATGCACACACACCTCAGGCTTGATATTCATAGCCTCCCTCCTCCTCCTTCACTTGACATGGGAGCCTTAACAGATGTGCCCCAGCCTTGAGCTGCCTCTCCCTCTATCCCCCCCTCCCTCCCTCCCTCTCTCTCTCTCTCCCTCCCTCTCTCCCTCCCTCTCTCTCTCCCTCCCTCTCTCTCTCTCTCCCCCCCCTCTCTCTCCCCTTTGCCTCGTGCTTTGCAGATTTACCTTATCTGTTGGCTTGGAAAAAAACAAAAGTGACATTAAATTTGTGTCCCACAGTCTACATTTTTAGGACAAAATATGAACAATGCTATACATGTGGGTGAAAGAAGGGAGCTATGGTACAAAAACAACAGTTTGTGAAGCCAATAAGACCAACACCCAGTTGGTTAGTTGTGGCCATCTTCTCAATTTATAACAAACCATGTTATGGTATTTGTTATGGTAACAATACATGAGTATGTCTTTTGTACATCATATTTTTTAGCATTTGTGCACTTTTCCAATGGTGTAGTCTCTATTTTCCTTATTTGTAAAAAAACATTTAAATATTTGCTCTTGGCTTTTATTGCTTTCATGATAACATCATCAGTTCTACTTCATTTTCTGCCTTATTTGTGCCGGTAAAACCTCGCCTATTCCTGTTTTGGAGTTTCAGCGGAGCCTGTGTGTGCGTGTGTGTTTTTCTGTGTGTCTCAGCTTGTGTGTGTGTGTGTGTGTGTTTTATGTGTCTCAGTGTGTGCGTGCGCGCGCAGCCAGTGCCGTGCGCTGGAGGCTTATGGTAATTGCGGTCTCCCGACTGGCCTTCTGGGTAGAGTCTGCGCGAGTGGGAGTGGAGCGAGTCGCTCGGTCTCGTTCATCCATTCTGTGCGGCACTCCCCGTACAGCTCCGTGCGAAGTCTCCGCGAACCGGGGTGCTCTCTACGCTCCTCGAGCAAAACGCGGGACGAGAAGCCACACAGAGTAACCTTCAGCGAACCCTCCGAGATACGGATTCCGGAATCGCGGAGGACATGGAGTGACGGGTAGCGGGAGAAAGGGGCTTTTTTCCGAAGACGGCGTGCTCCGCTGAAACCCAACATGGCGCTGCTGCGAGGTACGGCTGAGCTGAATTAATTTCTCCGCGAGTCCGCCGACCTCGCCACCTGTGTCCTGAGGGGGGCATTGGCTCTCCCGACTTTAAAGGACCTTAACGGATTTTCCTTTTGTGGATTTCTCTGCGTCCTGACGGTTGTTTTTCCTCCGCGCAGGATCGTTTTGTTGCTTTATGGCAACCCAAGTGACATTTGCAGCAGCAGAAAAGTCCGTTTAAAATATCGGGCAATGGATGAGAGTTGCCTGTAGACAATAGAAGAGCTTTATATGTTAGACTTGTTTTGTTTCGTGACAAGTGGATAACCTGTAAGACACTTTTAGTTGTTTTTTTTGTCCGGCCGGGATTGTGTGTCTCGGGCAGACACGATCGTGAACCGGGCTCGTCTACGCACGCACGGATCTCTGTCCTCCCAGTTAACTTGGGAAAACAGGAAAAAGGCGTGAGTGGGTCGCACGGACGACGGCTGGATCTAGCACCAATTACCCAGGTGAGATAATCCATGACAAATCGTAATGTATTTTCTTGCGCATGTGGCTTTGGCGATGTGGACAAATCCTGAATGAAGACAGTTGTGTTGAATACTTACACAGACGCTTTAAAAATATCCAGTGTGTTCTTATAGAGTGTTTTTAAATGAAAGACATTCTTCTTGTGGGGTTGAATGTAAACGCGATGTTGTGCGCAGAGACTGGGAGAGGATCGGCCACTTCTAAGAATAGCGCATAGGGTGGTCTTTGTGCGTTTCGGCGGGGCAGTGGCATGTGGTTGATAAATAACACACACGCACACACATACACACATACACACAATGACCCGACCGTGAGCTTGGCCTCTTTACAACTGTCCTGTCAACCGGAGGGAGGTGAGAAGGACGTCCCAGAGATTAGCGGACTTGAAAGTGGCGCCGTCCTCAGTGGGTGAATATTCAGGTTTTTCGCACTCTGTTTAGAGACGAAGTGTGATAGAGCCTGTGGGGGGAGAAGGTGGGAGTGTGTGTGACCGCGTGTTCGTGCGCGCACACGGAGCTTCTGCGCTAAACAAGGTTACGGAATCCAGCCTCGCCCTGCCAAAGGGAAGCGAGCGGTGCTGCTCCGTTTATACACGGTTCAGTTCAATTGGAGGGCATCCCCGCGGTGTGTGTTTGTTGGTGTGGCAGCTGACTGTGTGTTCGTGGTTTGGGGGGGGGGGGGCTTGTTTGGACAGAGTGGACGTTGATCAGTCGTCTCATCAGTCCCAAAGGTAGCGTGTGTGGGGGGGGGAGAGACGGGACTGCACCGCTCACCTTCCTGTCTAGTTGATGGAAACCGCTCTGGCATCTTGCCACACACACACACACCCTTCATGTCTTGCAGGTGTTCTCCGATATGACTTTGCGCTGCAGTGTGTTTTCTCCCCCTCTCGCTCGCACGCAGCCTGGCTGTGTGACTGCTCTTTGCATTGCGGGGGAATATCCATTGCGCACGAAGGGTCCGTGTATAGCTCCAGTTAGGACCCTCCCTCCCCCTGCAGCTACGATAGGCTACTCCCTGCTCCCTATACAGGGGGAAAGTGTCACCCCTTTAATTATATCCAAATAGTTAAAACGAAAAGTGCCACTTATAACTGTCACGATCATTTCTTCATTACTTTGTGAACTTTTACGCATATAAAAACCGCTTTGCAGTTCAACAAAATTATACTCTGCCATTATCATTTGTTTTATTTATTATTCTACTACAGCCCCCCCCTCTCGTGAACCAATGTGTGGGTGGCAGCCATCAGTATGAACCACATCAAGTTGCCGTTTAATTGAAATAAGTGCTGCTGGCTGGAAGTGTTCCAAAATGAATCGTCTTTTCCTTACGATTCTCCGAAGCTCCTCTGCGAAGCCAGCTTTTCGCGACCAGCAAAGCAGGGTTTAACCATAAGGCATTGTGTCTTAACATGACTTTGTCAGAAGATAACGGCTCCTATTGCGGGAGTTTTCCTCCTCGCCTCTGCTGCCAGTCCCGGAGCCACGCAGCACTAATTAGGGGACGCTCTCTTAGGACGATCGATGAGCCTCATATTGGCTGGCTCCAGCTCATTGACGAGCTTAGTGAGGGAAGCAGCTACTAAAAAGACCACTTCGCTCCCGGCAGCCAATTCGCGTACAGTGGAGAGAATTGCTCATAAGGCACGCTGCTGATGCTCGCGCAGGTTGCGAGAGCAGAACCTCGTGTTGGAAAAGAGCAGGGGGATTAACTGGTGGGGGGTGGAGGCTACTTCAGGGGGATTTGATGCAGAATAAAGGGTTAATTGTATTTAAATGTAACCTCGGTCTCTATTGGTTTGGTGGGGGTAAATGAGCGTGTCATACATCGATTTAAAGTTGGATTTGATCTTGTACTATTTAAAGAATAAAAACAAACCAAGTGCAGATCATTGTTCCCAATTTGAGGATTACGAACAATGATGCGTAAAACCATAAGGCTAATTATTTACCAAATTTTCCAAAGGACGAGTTATGTTTTGATAAAGCATTGCCCCACTTCTTTTTTTTTGTGTGGAAATAATGACAAATGGACTTGTCAATATATTATGACATTTTGTCAGGATATTATATTTAGATGTTTGTGCCAATCTTTGAATCTTCTCGTCTTTATTGACCTTATAAGTCTCATTTGGTCTACTGCAACTATGCCATTATTGTTTGCCTTCAAGTTACCTTGATACTGGCCCTCGACCTCACAATAACTCACACACTTTACAGCCAAGATAACCTTGTTCCTGACTCTGCTCTTTAAACTGCTAAGTCTGATCTTTTGGTAATAGAGGCTGTTCCCCTAGTGGTGCGTGTCGTGGAAGCAAACAAATACTTCACATTTCGTGTGGGCCGAGTTTATTTATAGCGTACCACGTCGGACTGATTTGCGCATCATTTTTCCACTGTGCACTGTGAAGTCAGTGTGGGACTGATCTGTTTTCCAGGTGTTAAAACACGGAGGGGGAGGGCTGCGTAGATTGACATACTGATTTATTTTTCCTCTCTTTTCACGCGAGAGGACTTCACACTTCTTACAAAAACAGGGTTTGATTGCTCAGGGCCATTAGCTGTCTAAAGTGGGGGTCAAGGTTGGCGCAGCAAACAAAATAGGATTTAGTTTTGGCGTTTATTTGATTATAATTTACTTTCATAGAAATATGCAGAGGTGGGAGAAGTACTCAGATATTGTACTTAAGTGAAGTAGGCCTACTAGAGTGTAGGAATACTCTATAAGTAAAATATATGCATTCAACATGTAACTCAAGTAAAAGTACTCATTATGCAAAGTGGCCCATTTCGGAATAATATATATTATATGTTTTCATTTTAATTGTTAATGCATTATATGTTTATCAAAGATGGTAAAGGTGCAGCTACTTTGAAATATGTATGTGAAAGTACACTGTTCACCTCTGAATTGTAGTGGAATAGAAGTACAAAGTAGCAACACATTGGAATACGCATGTTAAGTACAGGTCTCTCAAAATTGTACTTTAGTATAGCTACTTTACACCAATGGAAATATGCAAATATTGCCTTCAATGATTAACTTTGACTTTTGTCAACATCTTCTCTCCACACTCGTATAAACCATATCAATATGTCCTTAACATCCGGGAAGTCCGATTTTAAAGCATGTTTAGTATACTCTCGACTGTTAAGAGCTTCTAAGGATCTGTGCGTGCTGGGGGGGGGAAGGTGCACCTGAACGTATCACCAGCCTCGTGCCTGCTGGGCCATATTGTCATGCTGAGTGATGTGACAGTGGATGTGTCACCGTGGGGTGTCCAGGGAGGGAGGGGGGTCTGCTGCTGTGTATACGGACAACCGCACCTCCATTTTAAGCCCATTAACCTTCTGTATGGCCGCTTTCTTTATCTGGAATCAATAAGCACCACACGGGGGATATTACCTGCAGATATAGAGGAAATCACGCAGGACCAGTTTTGCAAATCAAACCACTAATGTGTTGGACGACAGGCAGGGAAATGCGTAAACACCGTCAAAAGTAAATGTTCAGTTTAAGATCCAGCCACGAGACACGAGGTCTGCCTTATTGTTGTCGCGCTTGTTTTTTTCTCTCGCCTGGATATAAAACAACAGCCTCGGCGCTGCTGGAGCGAGGTGCGTGTGAACAAAAGCGGAGGCACGGCAGAGCGCCGAGGAGAGATCGGTTTTCCAGGCGCTGCGAAGCTCCCGGAGGAGACGTCACGGTTTGATTGAAGCTATGCTCCGTGCTGGCCTCCCGGGACCTCGCGATTTGATTGAAAAGGGAGAGCTGCTACCTCCCTCCCTCCTCGCTCTCTATGATCTATCATCGCTAAGCTATTCTATACTAGTCTCTCTATATCTCTCTCTCTCTCTCGTCTCGCTCTGATCTCTCTCTCTTCGCGCTCTCTCTCTCTCCTCTCTCTCTCTCTCTCTCTCTCTCTCTCTCTCTCTCTCTCTCTCTCTCTCTCTCTCTCTCTCTCTCTCTCTCTCAGCGCTGCACAAAGCTTTTTGTTTCGACGAGGTCTGGAGCACACGGATCACTTCCCCGCAGAGATGTGTCGCCCCCCCCCCCCAGTACTGTTTCACCAGCATAGAGGCGGTCATTACGGCCCCGAGAACCACATCTTACATTAGTATGTTACTTTAACACATGCCTCACATATTGAAACTGACATTTCTGCACACGATTGCGCACAGATGGTAATTTAAACTAGTTTTTAGATTTAGATTTTAATCATCTTGCCTATATTATGTTTGTTAATCATGTCTCCAAAGGCAAACTGTGGACTTCTGTTGACAAATGTTGGATGATTTAATACACGAATACAGTGTCTGTTCCTAAAAATCTAAATCTCACTAAGGTTGTGTTTACTCTCCTGACCTCGCTCTGGCCTATCGAAAGATTGATTTGGCAGCGGAGTAATGATGGCACCTCGCCTCCCTGCTCTGAGTCTCTGCAGGCTCGGTCTTGATCATGCCTCCTCGTTTGTTTTTAGATGTCGGTGCCTTGGGCATCTATCTATCTGACGATATCCCACAGACGCTTGGCAGCGCAGCAGGGTGATGGCGATAGGAGTTTTCTACAGCAGCTGTCTTCAGAGCAGGAATGTTTTATCTGCCGTCTGCGTGGCACATGACTGACTTCATGTTGGTTATAAAAGCTTTTGACCTCGAGTTTAGGATCATAACTCGGCTCTAAACCAAGTAAACACCTACAGTTATCATTATAGTAAAGACAACAAAATATGTGAAATATTTCTAGGTGTCATTTGCTCACCCAAAGCGTGACCTTTTTAAAAGCTAGATATGTAGGCCCTGTCAGAGGTGTGGAAGCTCGGTTTACCTCAATGAATCGGCACCTGTTAAACTGACAGTCATTTACCCTAATTAAGCCTGTCTTTACACACCACCAATAATTAAGCTTTCTCTTTTAAACAGACTATTCATCCTATATATGAAGGGGGGGGGGCGTTATATGTAGGGGGATCAGC